GCTCGTTAGGCGCCCTAAGCTTATAAGTACATACACTTTAGACTCTGTCAATGTTAAAGTATACAACTTCGGGTATTGAGCCTGGCTTTATAGACCTAGTGAGGAGAAGGTAGCGTAATCAAGGAAGGTAAATACCCACACGACCCTCGGGTACTGTACTAATTGTCATTCTGTGTGACGTAACGTGGGGCATTTCTACGGGGAGAAAATACTGTGTCTATTTATTTAACAGACACGAGAATCTAATTTCAGACCAAAGGGTAAGGGGTTGATTGGAGGCAAGAGCTAGGAGTTGACTTTTTAAAAGCCCTCAAATTGCTTTGGCGAAATTGATATCCGTTTTAGCGTGCTTTTCACCTCTTCTCCTGTTTAAAATACATACTTCTATTTATTCGATTCGAGGACACCGAAATACCTTTCAGTGAGAATGAGAGGATAAAAAAACTTAAAGCAATGCGGTAGGAAATACATATAAGGAATGGTTAAAAAAATAGATGAAAATGGAAACATTATCCCGATATTCTGATTTTTTATGGATTGCATTATTAGATACGGCATCCAGCCTTGTTGGCTGAACGAAATCCAATTTGTTCGGGAAATTAAATGCCACTGATCTGCATGCGAAACAGACTAGCTGCACCCAGATGTTGTTGTTTCAGTATTAAGATTAGTTAATCGGAAAATCACTTATTTTTCAGGGGGATTCAATGAACGCATGTTTTTTTTTCAATTTACAGATAAAAGGGAAAAAAACTCACAATACCAACATCCATGACCCCACTAAAAGGGCAGACGTCAATTCGTACCATAGCTGAACGTTATCAGATCTTTCTTTTTGTTTGATGCCCCATACAGACTACCCCAAGAAGAGTTCGGGAGATGCAGAAACGCAGAAGTCTTAATTTAATTTTCTTCCTCTTAATACACATTCCCATATTTCAGTCACATATCAACGGATATCACTGAATTGGAAAACTCTTTTTAACCGGTTTAACCTCTCTCTGGGTTGTCAAGTTGACGTGAATCAACACACTTGTTTTCACCACTTCAATATGGAGTAGATGAGTGGCAATAGGAAAGACGTATTGAAAAGGATGACATAATATACTTCTAAGGTACTTCAAAATTGGAATAGAGTTGTTAAACTAGTAAACGTCACATTAACCTTTAAAACTAATTAAAGCTATGAGGTTGCCCCCCCCCTCTCTCTCTCTCTCTCTCTCTCTCTCTCTCTCTCTCTCTCTCTCTCTCTCTCTCTCTCTCTCTGAAACCAAATGACTCTAGGCCTAAAACAATCCCCCGTTCTCAACAGGACGCAAAAATCAAAGTTTCCGATTTGTATAACCACTACTGTTTTTCAATCAAAGTTACATACATATTTTCCCATAAAGAAAGTCGTTTTGGCATAGAAGATACCCTAGCTTTTTTCGTAAATAAACACAAGCAATGAGGCTTGGGTGATTAGAGAACAGGATTAACGTGAAGTTCAAGCACCGCTGCTTTTTAATTTGGCTCAACTTTCGCAAGTTATGTGCTAGAAACGTCATGTGTTTTTCAATTAAATAAGCTTGAAATTAGTAGAGAAAAATGAGAACTGACTGTTTTTAGTGGGGTCGTTGTGTCAGCAAGGATTACTCTAGAGATGTTGAACGCTGTAATAACAATATATTTGTCACTGTAGGTAGTCCCCTGTAAGCACGTTTTCCTTCCATGTAGTGTTAAGAAATCTTTTTTTCCAAAGAGCACCACATAAAACGTAGTAGAGAATATTTTCTGGTACATGGGCTACTTTTTACCATCTTAATATTTCGAAGATTTTCGTCAAGAAGGCAATCGTCTGCATTACAAATAAGTAAATTCAATTTAAAATAGGGATATATATTTAAAATGGGAAGTATATTTGATCACCTATCGATATGTGTAGGCCTACTATATGTTTGTTAGGCATTCTCTCTCTCTCTCTCTCTCTCTCTCTCTCTCTCTCTCTCTCAACTCATATCCCCAACACCCTAGATTAAAAACCAACAACAGATATTTTTAAAAGATGTATTATCTGTGTTTACTTCTACAGAGGGTACATGTAGGTACTGTCTAACTCTTTTTTGAAACTGGTGAATACTATTTTACATCAGACTGACAGGGACGAAGTTATTTTTTCAGTTCAATCAAATTACTGTTACTACCTAAATGTTGTATAATCTAAACTAGAAAACAAGCATGGCATTTCCGGCTCGTGCGTATATAAGATATACTGTATAAAAACACTATGCCTGCCGAAAGTTCCAAGACACCAATGCCACAGCTCAGCTGCTTATACAGAAACTCTGGATCTCATCTAACGCAATTTATCAGTTGTATTTCGAGAACGCTAAAAGCCTACGGGAACACCTATTTTATAGTCATGCTTTTCCGTAAAAGGAAGGAAAAAACAATAAATCTTTGTAGCAAAGCCGTTGTATCAATCTGACTATTAAATCTATCATTTCTATTTAAAAGTTCTAAGATGATCGATTTGGTAACTCATCAAAACTTAAAATGAACTCGTGTTGAACGCTCCTCCGGTGCACTGGTGTAGTGTATCATTTTAATGGCACTATGTACATTCTCCTGCCACACAATAGCACGTAATAAAATTGCTGCTTGGTAATCACTAAGCAAGAAATAAAAGGAGGCGTATTTACTTTACATCAGACTGACAGGGACATGTGTAAATAAGTGTTTTCTAGGCTAATATGGTCTGGGCTTTCTTAAAAAGAATATTCTGTGTGTAGAAGGGTAATATTATGTGATTTTTTTCCATTTTAATGCTGCTAGTTCAATAGGTTCAGTAAAAAAGAAAAATATGGATATTATATTTTGGTAACGACGCGTTTTCTGCGCTAATTTGTTCGAGCTTTTAAACATTTACATCGAAGAGATTATGTTCTCTATTTCATTTTGATGTAGCTAGTTCATCGGTTCAGAGTGGAAAGAATAGCAATGCTTTTTTGTATATAGTAAGGAACCATGGTGATACACAAAAATATGTAATGACAATATTAACTGCTTTTTAATATTGGTTCAGTTAGTTCGCTTGCTTAGAATGGAAGAATAGTCAGGTTATTATATATATGTATGGAGGTACCATAATAGACTTTTTGTATGTATTGCTTGTAACACTGGTTTGCAAAAAAAAAAAAAAAAATGGACACTGATGTGCGCCTGCTGCAATAGCACTGCAAAATTCCTCTATTACATCATGCTTTTCATTAATTTCTAAAATGTGAGAGAGGAGGGAAGGTTGAGGCAATTTTTGCTTCTCTTCGTGATGACATTACGGACCTTCCCGTGTGCGTGTTGTGTCAGGATAGGGATTGATTAGACACATATTTACTGTGGCTTTTTACTTCGTGTGGCTCTTTTGAACAAATTCATTTATCTTACGCTTCCTACTCCTACTCTCCTGTATTTGAATTCAAAACGGTGAATTGTGATGATAGTATTTCCACTTTATCCAATTCCTTCTTAAGTCTGACTTAAGTTATTCGTTGGCCGAGAAATCAAACTTAAGAGAAGGAAATCTGTCACTTTTAAAGGTATTTTGACGGTATTTCCGCCAAAAAGTTCTTTACCGAACTAAAAAAAACATAAACCGTTGATATTTATGTTGGAATGTCACAGCGTTGTACGAACCCAAAAGCCTTTAACTTGAAAAGATAAAATGTGACGAAAAAAAGAAAAAAAGCTATAACAATTTATAATTTCTAGTTAATGGGTGCCAAAAAAGTAGAACTACTGAAGTTTAAAAAAAAATGGGTAAAAAAAGAAGGGAAAAAAGCAAGGCAATAAATATTTTAAAACTGATGGGTAACGCAAAAGAAATAGGTATAAATAGGAGAATATATATTTAAAAATCAGTGGGAACTCTTTTGTCAGACTTCCATATGTTTTCAATGCAGCGTGACACGTGTACCATCCAATTTTAGGATATATTTGATTTGTTCTCGCTTGAGCGCGTGATTGATTTATGAGGCAGTGCCACTTCAAGAACACCGCAGTATCGTTTCAGCAGATGAGCGACATCGCAAACATACCCCCTCACCCTCCCCACTTACTGAAATAACCATGGTGTATACATGTTCAGTGTCTTAATCTCTGGATTTCGGCCCGGAAATGTGAATTGGCAGTTTAACACGCACCATAGCAATCGTCATTAATAAGCTAGAGGTAATATTTCAATTTTTTAGATTGTGGCTCTAGGACCAACCGCGCTAATATTTACGTCGTTTTGAAAACACAGGTGCGTGATTCTCGTTTATAGACATAGCCACAAGATAGATGGATGGCGGGTCGAGAGCAGGGTGTGAGCTGAGAAAGGATTTGTTGACTTTCATGAGGTCTCAAGTTCTATCCATACTAAAGCGGCAGAGGAGGTTCACAACATTAAAATACTTTCCTTAAAGAGTTTCGGAGCGGGGTGACAACAGGAAGAAAAATGGCATGTTTTATGAGTTTCATAAAAGCGATGAAGGAAAATGATATTCTTTCCATTGTGGGGCTATGTGATGGCATTGTATCAAGTCACTGAATTTCGCAAGCAATGATAAAGCGGTGCCAGATCCTGTAACCCCGCCATGTTTACCGCGGTTGCCGTTGACGAGGCACGTCTTGTAGACATAGCACCTAGATTTGTAAGAAAAGCTACGCAAAAATGTAACGAAATTATCCTGTATTTAAGTATTATTTTCGGTGAACAGAAACACAAACAAGATAAAGATGCTCAAACGATGGAGCTGGAGTCCCTAGTGTGTCGACAGTTGTCAATATGAGAAAACACCTAATGCATGCTTATTTTTTAAGCTAATTAAAATTCAAAATAGGCACTGCCATTTATATTGATCTGCATTTCTACTGCATCACTTGTATCAAATTTGCATATAGAAAATTTTAAATCACTGTAAATCCTCCCTCCCTCTCTCTCTATCCCTCTCTCTATCCCTCTCTCTCTCTTTTTCTCTTACCTGCTGCGTTTTACGTCCAACGCTGACTTGTGTGGTGAGAAGTCTGGGACGCTGAGACTCCTGGTGAAAATTTTATTTTGGCGCTTCCGTGAGTAGTTGGTTACCCTGTAGAAAATAACAAAGAAAATCAAATTGCTATTTCTTTATAAAAAATGTTGCTTACTTGCTAATTTGTGAGAACAAAACCAGTGTTTTAATAAAAGCGAGAGCTTAAACCTTTCAACTTAATCTGCTATTGCCTTTTCAGGAAAGCTGTAGACTGTTCCATCCTATACAGTACAACATGCCCAATATTTGGATTATTGTTTTCTTACATTGGAACCACTATTGATGTTACTTTTCAATATTCCACAGCCAGAGGGGATAGAATTGAATTTTAAACCATGCATAATATTCGATTTTTGAAAATTTACAAACAATTAATACCACATATATTTGAAACACTACAATGTAGCTACGCGCACTGCCATGCGAAATTCGCAGGTGTCTAACAAATTAGCTAACAGAAAGCTGCTAAAACATGTGTCTTGTACGTAATATTGTACGAGATCGATGGGGAGATAAGCAAAGTATCAGCTGCCTGGAAATTAAAACTGCGCTTTTGCCTGCAATAATTGATCATGATTAAGATACACGTTTAATTTTAATCAAAAGAACGTAGTTCACGGCTTTCAAATCTAAAATTTAAAAAAATTAGGTTTATTCCGGGAATCATCGGCAATTTTGTAAGAATCACATACAGGTCCATGTATTTTAACTACTTAATACGGTGTTACCAATTCAATGTCCGCTTTCAGTTACGAGAAAAGAAATCCACAGTTCGTCATATCTCACAATTCAATCCTGTCTACAGATTGAAATAATTGTTTCCACAATTCAACTGGAGGGATGGCTCCAAGGCCTCTCCTTCCTAAAAATATTCATTAGAATTACACCTCACTAGGTCTTGTTTTCTGGACTTCATTGCATCTCGGATTGTTGGATATATGGAAACTTGTCCACATATAAAAAACTGCAAGAACTCCGTATTGGAAATCCAATGAAAAAAATTAGACACGTTCAGCAATTAAAAATATCTACCACCGGTTCACACGGACACGAGTGCGGTCAAGGTCGATGGTGGAGTTACCGAGTTAGTCTCAAGAGGAATCTGAAGGGGTTCAAATCGATGGAATTAAAGTGCACCAATTACAACAGTCGACAAACTGAACTCGGGGCGCTTTATTTCCACTATTGATGAAATATTCGATATTTGTGTACAGAACGGAAATCCAAACAAGGTCGCGGTAGACCACCCCACAAATTGCAGGTGTAACAACTGTATAGGCGAAGGGAAATGTACCTCATTACTTTCACTAAATGAACCCATCGTCTATTTAACAGGAATGAAAATATTTACTGTATCAATCCTAGCGCCTAATTGAGAGTGTAGAATCTCATTGTTAGACCCATGGCCCGTGTTCGGTCCAATCTCTGTTTGGATTTTAGATCACTCTATTGGGTCTGATGAAATAATACAGCAGGATTGAATTTATTCGATAAGATTTTGTATGAAATATGAATAAATTTGTTCCATTATCCCTCGGAATATCACATAAAGATGCATTGATTATTCGTGAAAATAGTCGAAAGCAGGATGTCTATGATAATATACTGTTGGCGCGTATGTTAAGAAAGCGTGTTCGTGCATTAAGGCAAGTTATCTTACCTATAAAGCTGGACAACGGGGTCCATGGCAAACACCGGCAAAGTTCGAGGCTCTGCCGTCGGTAACACCCTTGGTAACGCCCCAAACTCCGCACAAGACACTGCGTTCCTTTTCATTTTCGCCACAAGACGACTTTAATCCAAATAATTTGATTCCCTCTTTAGTTCAAGCTTGCTCCGTGAATGTGAAAATTCTCTTCACGCGCTGAGAGCCTGAGCCTCGGGTCGTTATATCAATGTTTTTAATGAATTGTCACATCCCACACTGCCGATGACAATAGGCTGAGTTTACCTTGACGCGTGGTTTAATGAATTCGAGTATCTATTGCTAACTCCCGTTTTGTTCAGGGATGACCCCTTTCTTCAATCTCCTCATTTGGAAAATACTTCCTGCCCTCTTTTGCGATGAAAGGCTTTGTGAAGTTCTTCCCCTGAAAGAGTGACTAGGTTTTAATAGCAGCCCTTCATGGCCGCAGCTCATCGCGTCAAGTCAAACTTTATAGGTCCCAATAATGCTAGCAAACTTGAGGCCATACGATACTGATGAAATTCGCTGCTTCTCAGCTTTGCAGTTTCTTTTTGTTGCCGTTAATACCTACGGCGCCTCGTTTCAAAACCAGACATAGATTTAATTCTTTTCCAACGTCGTATTTTTTGTGTGCGCGCGTCAAAAGTGTACTCGCTACAAGTAGTGCGATGTTGCCTGCCGTGTCCCCTTGTCTTCATTGCATCGTGTGTCCACGACTGGGTCAAGCACGCCGTCCATCATGGTCCATCGGTGGTCTGAAATAAAAGCCGAGCGAACGTAAGATTTGACACAATGAATAAAACGGTCGTATACAGTCTTGGGGCAAGGCTGAGCGTGGTGGGTGTTTCAACAGAGCCAGTCATTTAAGTGACTGGAGCGTGGAAATAATTTGAGGAAAAACAAGAAGCACCTGCAGACTTAAAAACCGCAGATAGCAAGGAGTTTGTGGTAAAATCCGGGGGCAAAATCCATCACTTTAGCGTTTACAAAAATGCGCCAGAAACTGACAAAGTGTTAAACCAGTATACTAGACATATTTTCATATTCTATAGAAGAATAGTCAGGACAAAACTATAACTCAAAGTCCATCGAGACAACTATATAACTGTAAAGGGTTGGGTTTTTCACATTGTCCTTCTTTATCAAATATTCGTATCAACAAAGAAACTTCGGCTATAGGTCGCTATTTTTGCAATTCATATTTCTAATGTATCGCTCGTTTTAAGTGACCCACCAAGCATCACATGATAAACAGTTTTTGTCGAAACAATTTCGGGATAAATTTCAACCTTTTGTTGAGAACACCTCGCCATTGATGGGTTCTGTCGGGTTCAAAAGACCCTTTACAATTTTGGAAACTCAGACGGACGTCTCACCTGTTACACTTTCAGAAAAGATAGTATAAGGTCAGCCAACATTGCGTGTATCGGAAAAAGTTCAATTCTTTTTTGGCGACCCCAGGTGACAGAAACAACCGAAACAGAACCATCCCTCCTTATGTACTTTAAGAAATAATGATGGTGTCTCGCTCTTCATCCACTTTTTTTTTTTCGTTTTACAAATGCGAATGTTCGTCATGCCACTTAACGGGCTGTATAAATTACATGAAATATTTATATAAAATAAAAACAACAGTTTGGTAAATCTTATGTCGTTTACCCCGGGTTTCAAGGTATTTATGGTTGTAGTTATTTTTCCACTCATAACGGGCCTTTGACGGCAATACTCAGAAACTGAGGGTGCTGTTGATTGAATAAACGAGACAGCTGTGTACAGTTTTTGTATTGAATGAAATATTGCCCGCATTTTCGCAAATGATAAATGAATAGTCGAAGAGGGCCATAATTATATACTGTAGGTCTGATTTTGAAAGGCATCGTTTTCTTTTTCTATTGAACGCCTCTTCCTATTTTCTCTATTATTGAGATGCCGCGACAACAGCATCTCTTAAGTTAATAATATCAGGAAGAAATAGCAGTATACCGTATGCATACAAGTCAGAGTAAGCTGCTTCATTAAAAAAGACCAGTTTTTAAGTTGACTTTAAGTCTGCCCTTTCGATGTAATATGAACCCCTTTTTAACATTTAGGAGTTATATGAAAAGAACATAACTTGGGATAATATTACATCTGTCACCCAAGGTCAACTTATCACGCAAAATTTCGATTATGAGATACACATGATAGGCCAAGAGAAGAAAAATAATATATTCTGAAGGCGCAAAACGCAAGAAAATCCATACAAATGAAACTTCCATTTGAAAACGTATTCAGCATCGGGGTTTATTCTGAATTGACTAATTCTTAACTCGTGAGATCAATTTTGTTATCGAGCTCTTGTCACTTTGGCCTTTAAAAACATTATCGACCTGTCGGAGAGTTACAATAACCCATGTCATCTAGCGGTAACATTGCATAAAAGAAAGCTACAAATATAAACACTGAAAACAACTGATGATTTATTGGAAAAGGGGCAAAATACCAAAGTTATTCATAATGTTTGACCCCGTCAAGTCACGTTTACTTCGCCTCCATTTCTGAATCCTTCTCCCTTCCCATCTCTTAGACGCGAATTCTAACCTCAGGTTTTCAAATTTCACTGAAATTATTGACAATCTTCTGTTTTGGAATATGTAAGTTTTAAAGGAAACAAAAATTCAACACTAATTTGATATCGAAGAATTGTGAGCGGCCGTAAATGACACCGAAATTCGTGCACAATTGCTGCAAACGACTTCGTAATGCTTGCACCTACCTGCTTACGCAAACGGGATTTGAAAACACGATGATCCTCCTTCAAAAACTAAACTTGGCATCACTACATTACTTCCTTAAAGAAAACACTGCCATTAAACAGCTATAAATTTATCTATGCAATCTCGCTGAATACAATACGGATTGGCGGGATCCAATTTCATTGATATCTGTCGTTATTTGATGCCTCACCTTTGTTGCCGCTAAAAGATTTACCGCCCGATAGAAATTCAGGATAGACCCGAAACAAATGAAAAGAGTGATACTTCACACAGCACCTTGAATCTCCTCGTGCATATTTTGTGTTGCTTTTTTGCCCAAAATCAACTACCTTAACACAGTCGCCGTTGTAAGTTAAAGTAACTATTTGAATGTGCCCCATCAAATTAATATAAATGCCAAACATAACGTTGTAAATATGCGCAGTGTGTAAACGTTTAAGTTTCTTTATTACAACTGAATGTTATTTTGCAATGCACATCTTGTACCTGTGAGAACATTCGGTCTATCGTTTCATTTAGTCCATGTTTATCAGTCTTTCTCCTCTTCTTCATCTCTCTCTCTCTCTCTCTCTCTCTCTCTCTCTTCGCACATCTACACGTACTACTGCAACTTACCCAAGCCCGCTTGTGTCTGCGCCTGTCATCTCCACGTGTGTTCGTTTTTGTTTGTGTCGCATGACGCACCACAAGACACACAAATCAATGGGCGGCCACTGGATAATTCAATAAACCCATTGACGTCGAAAACACAATTCCAAGCGGTACGAGTTCGTATCAAAAATCACTACGTCTTTCTCCGGGACTAGACGAACAAACGCAAACCTATTCTAGTTGATAAAGGAATAAACCGAATACCCGCATTGTGTTTGCCGCATGTTACCTTGTATATTGTTACCACAGTGTTCGTTGGTATGACGGATTTTTTTTTCAAAAGGAACACTCCAGTATGTTTTTTACCAACCCTGGAACTGGTGAATACAGAAAAAAACTTAAATTATTTAAATTATCCATACGAACAATAGAAATATATACATAGCTTAAAATCTTAAGCGCATCGATGATATTTTAACACTAACGTACTCGCGCTTCCCAAAGGTAGTGAAGAGACCAGTTACGTGTTTCTTTGTTCTATTTTTCATTACGTGTGTTTGCATTGCCCTTCTAAACATCACTGGCTGGTTGAAAATCTCATGGCGCAAATCAACATTGCTACAACCCGATAATAAACGGTTCACCGCGTAAATGGTGACGACAGTACGATAAAAAAAATTCATAACAATACCTGTCTTATCTGGTCGACATTTTTTGGTCAATTTCATAAGAAATAAAAGTCCGTGTAGAGTTCTACGTTCTTGCACTGTTCGCCGTATAATGCTGAATCACTGCATGGGGAGACTACCAGAAAACCATACTCTGAATATTTAATAATTCTTTCTCTCTGATCTTTTCTATATCATCAGCTGCTGCTTTATACCGTTCTTAATTGGTTTTATTGTAATGGTACTCAAATATTTATTGCTTTTTATCTCCATTTTGATCAGGTAATGGCATTGCAAAATAGCACTTTAGTTATTTAGATAAAGTCCCAGCAACAGAGGTGTGAAGTGTGTCACTTAATAATTAGGTACTCCCCGAGTGTAAAAGTGCTCTCTTCAACGCCCCAAAAGCTTAAAACCTATTGACTTTTACCCATTCTTTGCTGCACGTGAGTTAAGAAATCCAGACGCCCGTGTAGATCACTTCTTTATTGAACCGGTCAGTTCCGATAGGTTTTCTTATACATAGGCGCAGTTTCATTCACAGTGAGTGACCCCGTGTAATGTAACGTCCGAGTGTGGTGGTCGGTGGACAGCAGCCAGCATACACTAGCCATAGTATTATCATCGAATCCTAATATGCAGCGTCATGATACAATATTCATTTTCGGTTAAGATGCATCGTGGTGGTCATTACTATGTCCAGCATGCGCCTGGACGAGCAATTTGAGAGATGGAAGTAAACAGCCATGAAGATTGAATCTTCACACTTCTGTATACCAAAGGCTCGTGCACCTTGGCTTCAGGGTCGGAATCAAAACATAACCAGCACGTACCGCGGTGTTTGTTCTGCACATGCAATCAATGTATGTAAACAGAGGGGTGAGACATTGTATCCGTCTTCTTAAACGCATCATTACTGTCATCGATTTCATTGTTGTCGCTGTTGACCCGTGGTATAATTCCACGGCGGTTATTGGTAAGTAGTGTGAAAACACGTCATATGACAGAGTGGTTTATTACAATAAAGTCTCGCTATTTCAATGTATATATATATATGCGATATTATAATTAAAGGGATAATAACTCTTCATATGATATCAATATTTCACAATAAAAACATTGTGAACAACTCATAGAAATATAATATATTCTGTTTTCCCACAAAAACAGCAGTTATAGCTATTATTCTGATATATGAGCTTGTCTTCAGACCACATGACCTCCATTGATGGCTGTACTGTGTTATAATCTCTTAAGAGATTTTAACAAAAAACCAAACTTTTTAGAAAAAAACCAGGGACTCACTTTGAATGTAAAAATGGATTCATTAACCATTGGTTAGTATGGGAAAATTGTTGTTTACTCCAGGAAAATTCATTTTTTGGCCAAAACGAAGAGTTATTATTCCTTTAAGTTAGAATTTACGTAAGCAGCGTATATGATTTCATATCACGCGACACATTACTGGTATAGAGATTTTTTTTCTTTCTTGTTCTCCTTTACAATAATATGAAAAGTGTTTCTGGTGACATCGTGATAAAATTTACCGGAATCTCAAATGCCCCTTTTTTAGCACAGTTTTGATATATACGTATACAAGAGAAAGATAGAGACAGAATTGTACAGTGGCGAGTAAATATCTATGTTCAAAATTGAAAATTAATATTAATAAAACTAACCAGGAGAAACACGACAAAAGAAAACACGCCAAAGTTAAAAACAAGCAATGCACTATAATTTATATAAAAAGTGTGCCCCCTGGTAGCGTTCGAATATTGAGGACGAATATCTAACGCTTTTTTTTTGTTGTTATTGTGCTATTGTTCTTGCAACGTCGGTTTTTCTTAAAATAGTTATATAGAGCCTCCAGAAGTCTCGACGTCTTAAGTTTTCTTTACTATAGTTTTGAAGGCGCCTTAGGTCCATTTCTTGATTGTATGTTGATCGTTAAACAATTTTCCATTGGTTCACGGGATAGTTTTTCTTCCTTCTCATACTTTGAAATCGATGTTACTTCTTTTGTTATTTACAATACATTATCAGGTTTTGACTTCAATTCCGGGGACATCACCTCTGGAACCATTTGCATATTTGTCTCTAAAATATTTGACTGCACTCCAAACGGCGCGCCTTACGTAGTTTTGATTCAGTCATGTGGTAATGCCATGCCCAAACTTTTATGTAAATATACAGGGCAAATATCTCCCGGTGCCGGTTACACGACAGCCAAAAACCAGCCCCATGCGAATGCAATGAATACCAGGGTAAACAAATCGATGAAACAATTGCGGAAGTTATTTATCGGCGACAAAAGTTGTTCTATTACCAAAAGGCATCACACACAGCAGTGAATATGTCTCATATTTAAATTAATGTCTAGTATGCTTAAATGTTTGGAACAAAAATTGCCACTCCATTTTTTTTACTTCCTGTATTCCTCATTATTAATTTTTTGGATATACTGTATTTCTTTCCTTTGGCGGACTTAAAATTGTAAAGAAAGTTAACTTGAATCCTCTTTGTTTAGTTATTTTACTTTTATGTATCTTTTTTTTTTTCATTCTATTCTATTTCGTGATTATTGTTTAGTGATTTTGTCTTTCTTTTGAAAAAAGTCTGAAATCACTCAGTGGGTTCAAAACGTGCTTGAGGTGAAAATCGAGGTAAATAGATTAAGGAAATGAGAATTCCGTCGTGTTTTAAGATATTTTAAAAACTGTTTTAGAATGTCAGCACTTCTCTTTTGATCACCTGGATAGGCTGCATTAGTATTTTTGCATTAGTATTTTTGCTTGTTTAATGTGTTTCTTTATGAAATAAATTACCTAATCGATAATTAATCAATGGCCGAATAAGCTCACTTCTTTTATCATTTGAAGAGATAATAAATGCCAAAAACTTATTTGACGTCAGTTGATCATTGTTAGTGATAGCTACGTAAGATTGTAAAAACATCAATAGAATAATGAAATATACCTGCCTGCTATCCTTAGACAGGAGTAAATCTGGAGCAATGATGAATTAACTCCCCTTCTCAAAATGTGCTTTGGATGTGTTTCCTCTTGAAATATTTTCACCTGACATTGTAAGGTGCTGCCATCACACGTTAGCATTATAGCCTCGTTTTCGTCCAGACAGGTTAAATTTCCTGTTACCGTTTCAGGTGGGGAATTCTTGTGGAATTTTCCCCAAAACTGTGATCCATGTAATTCTTCGCGGAATTTAGTGATTAAAATTTAAACAAAACATATCAGGGACAAAAAAGGACATATAATGGGTAAGTGATGAGTGCTTCTTTGTGCAAATTATCTTTTCTCAGGTAAGCAGGTTGTTGTCACACCTTGAGACATGGTCGGTAACTTTCACTCTGTTAAGTGGTGTGTATTTTTTTTACCAAGATGCGAGTGTTTTAAGCTATTTAATAGCCAGTTCCTCGGTTTTAAATGTCCAGTACTTATGATGGCATCGCCTGTTCAGATTTAACCACAGTTTAAATGTCTAAACCGTTAATTGGCAAATAGTCGCACGACAGGATGTACTGGGTAAACACGACAATGGCTCAAAGCAAACAATGGACATAACTGATTAGTCATATTATTTTGGCTAGTTGTTGAATTATTCGAACTACTCTGCGATCAAATAATTTCCTGATTAAATCATACGAACTGTTATAATCATCATTTATGGACCATAATTTACTCAAATTGTGTCCTTCACTATTTGTTCCCATAGTGGAGTATACACATTGGAGGTACAGTTTAACAATGAACTGAAAGAAAGGGTTCAGATCAGGTCATATTTGTTTTATGTGATAAACTAGCTGTAAAAAAAAAACAACTGGAATGATGTCCCAGCTGTAATTATACCCTTTTTATTGGGAATTAAATGTACAACACTTCATCAATATTTAAAAACATGTGAAGACAATATCACAGTATTATATAGTATCCTTTGTAACAAATTTCCCTTATAGAAAAATTTTCAGCACTTCATATCCAATTTTGGCAACACATAAATAGCACCTTATCTGAAGCCTTAGAAGTTCATGGATGTAAGAATATAAGTGGCAAAATAAGATATTTAATTGTAAAATACAAAGAAAAATTGATACATAAGAGCAAATGCTGGAATTGCCAACTGTATATTCAAATTTTAAAATGTGTTACACATTTAAAGCTTATAAAGCAGGGTATAAGATGCTATACTTATTAGTATACACTCTTTGAATATGAGCTTTGTAAATTTACATATATCGGCAATGAAGAAAGGCTTAAAATTAAATGTCCAAATTTTTCCAGGTGCGTTAGAGTGTCTGGGACGCATTCCCTATGCTTCACTTATTGCCACCCTGAAGTGCTGGGTAGGTGTGGGGATCTTCTGTGGCTGCCTTTATTCAGCACTGAGAATTGTGCTTGAGGACATTTTCTCCAAACTTTTGGGGTTCTCCATAGAATGGTGAGTGCAGAGTGACTAGAAATATCATACTATACTGTATTTTAACTTTCACCAGTTGCTTGAAAACAATTACTTTGAATAGAAAATTGGAATTTTTTTATTTAATTAATGTCACTGGCTTGATGAAGAAAAAGTACACTGACATGACTTTTCAAAACTATGATTATATCTTTACTGCAATATATTTTTTTATTGCCCTGTGGTTTACTCTTATTAAAGTCCTGTTTATTAATTTTCTTCAGGCTGAGAATCCTGGTGATAGTTCTTATCATTGTTGCTGTGGTGATGGGCATTTTTGCCACTCTGTTGTTGATATTTGGTTTCCTAGCAACTGGGAACACACGAAGGAACGTATACAAAGGCAACAAGTGCATCATGGGAGGAAGAGTGTCAGCAGCTATGGTAGGGCTGTGTAAAAATTATTTTCAGCCATAATAAGTTTTCCAATTAAATTTGCATAATTTTTTTACTAAAATTATTCTGTCAGTGAAAAATGAAATCTAGACACTCTTTAATTTCCATGTTTAGAAACTGATGGTTGGATGTAGTATAACCTGTTTTTGAAAAAAAAAAGCATAAATTCTAAATTTGCTTTTTGTTATCAATTGCTTCAGACATGACAGTTGCTGTAAATGAGCTTTAAAACATCAATATTATTGCCTCTTTTCTTTGTTTTCCAGTTCATGATGTTAACGTACATAATGAATTTGACTTGGGTCCTGATCTGCGCCCTGTTAACAGTGCCTGTATTGATGTATGTCATGTTCATGTCCATATGCAATGAGGAGATCATAGACCGCCAACTCGCCGGGTGGTATCCCACAATCAATATTTCACATTATGGTAAGAACTGATACATTATGTATTCTCTAAAAAAGTAAATTTTTTATAGAAATGTATCAATTTACTTGTATTGTTTCCAGTAGAGTTTTTTCATCAGTGAATACAGATTTCAAACAAAATTTAAACAATTTCTGGTTCTTAAATGATTTTTTAATTTAAGTTTTATAGAATTTTTGTTCCTATTGGAATTTTAAAATGGTCAAGTGTGAACAATACAAAGATACAGTTCAGATTAGCCTCATTGAGGGTGATTCTTAGGGTTTTGTGGAAAATGGAATTATTTTGTTTTTGCCTATGGTTTATATATCTAACTAAATATCTTGTTCACAGGGCTGTACAGAAATGCCACTGCCCTAGGAGGCAAGAATGTACTGAGAACACCAACAGAGCTCAGCAAACTATGTGAACACGTGAGTACAATAATGTTGTTATCTTACCAGTTAAAACAAATTAACAATCATTGCATTCTTAAAGTTCTCATAGCAGTAAAAAAATTTTATTTATGTTTACGTTATGTTGCATACTTAGCATTGATGGTAAAATGGCAAACAAGATAACATTTTTTTACAAAGTAATATAAATTTAAAATAATTATGCATTTTCCATACCACTTGTAAATGTTTTGTTTTTTGTATTTTTGCATTTTTAGATCTCAGAGGCAGGTCCCCTTTTCATTGTTGCATTTATTGGTGCCCTTTTAATTGTGTTGTCTATGGTAAGTATAGATGCTTTTATCTATTTATACCAAATAGCAAATTGCTGTGTAGTTTACAATGCCTGCCTGCTTAAAAAAGAAAGAAAAATGCAGTTAATCTTGTTTTGTTATAAATCTATCTTCTCTTGTGTTAACTTCACAATTTTCAAAAGCTTGTTTGAAACAGTTTTAAGTAGATTTGATAGTTTCACGCAGATTGTGCACTGTCATAAATTAGAATTTTTTAAAATACTAGTGCTAGTTTTAGTGATTTTTGTTGAACTTTGTTTTGAATTTTCTTATCACTGTCAATTGATAACCACACCAATACTTTCTAAGTACTAACACTAAGGGTTCACATGGGTGAAGGGATTACAAAGTGACCATTAAAATTGGAATTTTTATTTACTAACAGCCACAAATAAGAATTGTTATGTACTGACTAACATTAGCAAACTTGATTAATTTTTCTTTTTTTATTTTTATATTTATTTATTCATTTTTATGTTTATTTATTTGTTTATTATTTATTTTTGTTTATTATTTTGAGAAACTGACAATGGACTGGTTGAACTCCATGTTAAATGTTATTGGAAGAGGGATTATTCTTCAGTAACCCATTTATACCTATAACACAGATATGACTATTATTAACACCTACCTGCTATTATTAACATTATTCTAACTATAGAACCCCTTCTGATTTTTTTATGCTCCCACCTTCCCTCACTGCTAAAGGTCAAACTGTCATAGTTGTAGGTTAAAGTCACTCTCCAAAACTCAATCATAATGTTGATTATCCTTTTTAAAATTTGAGCACTTTTCAAAGGTAGGAGAACGAAAAATTGTGGATTGTCAGAAGACAAGTGGACATGGTGTTAAGTCAAAATTCCTGTCAGGGAAATGATCCTTTCTTGAATTTTGTCGGTTTAGGATTTTTTTCTTGGATAAACTCTTCATCTGAAGCCCATTTCCCTGTGCCCTACTGACACAAATTGGGGGAAAGCTCATGATTTGCATGTGTTTGTGGAAAGGGAAATGCTATATTGAATCAAATTGTCCTCAATATGCTGCTTGTTTATTTAAATTTTCCGTCCTCTTTCAAAATTTGATTTTATCCTAATTTGGCACCTTTTAAATTTGTAGGCACAATTCATGATATCTTTGGCTGCCAATTACAACAAGATCAAAATGGCACGAGAGTTACAAGACATTCGCGAGGATCTCCGTTTGAATGACATGACTTCAGAATAGATCAAGAGAGTGAGAAAGTAGGTCCTGACCACTGGAAATAAATTAGAATAACTTGGAAATTAGAAGCAAGATTATCATAGGGTTCAACTCAAATAATCATATTGGTATGGCCATCGCAAGCATTGCACAGCAAAAAGGAAAATGAAAATTTAAAACTAAAACTAAATTTATAAAATAACATGCCTCTAAACTGTAGAAAGATTGAGATCATTAAGTAACTTTCAGTTTGACTTCTTTTATATATCATATCTAATATGGTATAAAATGTGTTTCCCTACACTTTATTATGTTTAATTAACCAAGAAATAAGAAATTTAATTTATGGGACAAAAATTATGTAGGCTTACATACATTATTTTCTCTAATGTGAAATGGTAATTTTAGAAAAGTGCTCATCCAATGACACATGTAGTTATTTTTTATCTAGATAATATTGAAAGAGTCCTGGGTCAAAGTTGTGCTTCAATAATATGTCAACTAACAAATTTACTGACTGAAACAATCAATAGATAATTCATCACATCAAAGAAAAGTAGAAGTGAAAGGCTTGAAGGGAAATAACTTTGTTTCATGCTGTGCCTTATTTCTGTCTCTCCTCTTGGAGACATACCCAGTATATTTTGAGGGTCCTTGGTGGTCCAAGCAACATTACATGTCTCTTCATTGTGGGCAAAGAACAACCAACACAATCTATATAAATCACAACTAACACAATTGACACCTTTCTCTCTCTAGCGCTTCTCTATATGTGGCACTTGGTGTGTTTCAGGTTCAGTTTATCTCCATATTAAGTGCAAACTATGTACGGTTACGAGTATCAAAGGAACTACAGGAAATCAGGGACGATGTCGAAATGACAGAATCTTTTGAACCAGACAAATTCTAATGCATTTGTGGAGGCTCATGTCTGTGCATAGATATTTATTGCCATGGTAAATTTTACTAATTGTGAACCCAGTGATGGGTTATTACAACTGTAATTATCATTGTTGCAATGATGAATAATGCATGATTATGTTTAAATATGATATGATTTGGACAGAAAAATTGTCTGTGATTTACCCTATATAAGTGGAACCATGCAAAGACCTATACATGGTGCTCTGTATATAAATGGTTTACTGCATGTTTCTGTAAAATGCAACCATTTTTAAAAGACAGCAAAATGGTTTTGTTGCTTTTGTGGTGAAGGCGGAGAGCAATTAAAAAAGAATCACACTTTATAAGATTTCCACATTTCCAAAGATGGCAGGCCAGGACATCTTTGCATGCAGCACATGTAACTTGTCCATGCACATACACGTTTATCAGGTGAAAATATAGGATATTTATGTAAAAATTAGTAAGCTGTGCCTGTTGTTAAGGTCCAACATTTTGATGCATGTTTGTAATACTAGAGTACGTAGGCAAATTATGGAAACAATTAGATTCCCTCTAAGTAGAATTCTGACAATGCATTTTTTTGCATCAGTCACCAGAAGTCCAACTTTTTATAAATTTGCCTTATTATTTTTATTTTATTTTCATACATTTTGAAAAATTGTTTTATTCCTACTCAAATTTGAAAAAAAAAAAACAAAAAGATTTTAGATTAAGTATAACAGGTAGTACTGAATTGAGAAGTCAAAGAAAACTTTGTTAATCTCCTATGTGTTGGAACTGTCAGTGTGCTGTGCAGTGCTTGCTTGAGACAATGTGATGTCTTGTCATGTCACAATGAAATTCTACCTGTTGTTGTTTCTCAACCTAAATATTGTAAGTTTTGTATTGCTTCTGATTGACAAAACATAGTAATTATTTCATGATTTGTACCAATGTTTTAACTAATTTGTTATGTTAATTAAAGATAGAATAATTAAGAGAATTTATTTCACCTTTTATGAACTGCTAAACATTTTTTATCTTTAATAATTTTATGAGATACAGATAAATAACTGGTCTATATATACCAGTCAGAAATCTTATTTTATTCTTCTCCTTCTGTAACTTTAGGTCCACTTCATGGTGTCCCTGACTGCCAACTACACAAAGATCAAGATAGCCAAAGAACTGACCGATTACCGGTCAGCTGTTGACCTCGAGTCCACGATGGAGATGGACAGTATCATTGGACGCTCAGGCAAGATTCCGGACAAGGTGCCTTTTGGAACGCAATGATGATAAACGATATGAACACCATCAACTGTGACAGAAATCAGTCATTCCACAATGATCTCATTAACACCAAGGCAGGATTTTATATCAGTTTTTTTTTCTTTCCCATATGTTTGTATTTTATCACTTGATGTAAACTTAAAGGGGCAATTTTGTCCTTACTATAGGGCTTTTAAACCCCATCTCTTCCTAATGTTATCTTTTTAACTGAAAAGCCTGACATGATTATTAATTTAAGTATCTTCCATTGTGTAAGCCGTTGATAAAAATAAACACAGATATCAAAAATAAATATTCTAACACCCAGTGTTGAAAATTATCAAGAAAAGAAATTAGTGTGATATGAATTTATGAGAAAAAATAATGATATATATCCCATGTAGCACAAAACTACAAAGTGCATTTCTAAATTTATTTTATTTAATTCTTAATTGGCAAGTATCAACAATTTATGATTTTAGACAGAGAATGAATATAGAATGAAAGTTGGTTCCACTTGATCTTCCCATTGAAAAGTGTATATTGAATAGACAGCAGATAAGACATTCCACTAAAGGATGTTGGTATTGAATATCAACCTTGTGTTGAATAACATTGTTTCATAATTTTCATAGATGTGTTTTCTCTTTAAAAAATTCAAAATAATTTGGAGTACTTTTGGAATTTGCTCATGAGTTTGTTTAATGATTTTAACCTAGTTTGTGGTGTTTCTAGGTTTATTTTTGGTGCTTTTCTATGAGCTTTATAGTTACAAACTGTGCAAGTTAAAAAGCCTAAAATTTCATTTATTTTCATTGCGTTCTGACAACTTGAGGCATTTATTGTGTGTTTGAATGTGGCTGTGTTTATGTACATAGTACTATATGTTTTAGCCGAGTTGTTTTTAAACTATGGCACAGCCATTCATATGCAATTTTAGAACCATGTGTACATAATATCTTTTCTGCTTTTTTTAACCCAAATGTACAGAACTTAAATCTATTATGTTCAATTTCTTTTTTATATACCCTAGGGACCAAGTTGTGTTAACAACATATTTTGATAACAAATGTTTTTAACCTTTAACCTGTTTTAAACAGACAAAATGATATCCTTGAGTATCCCAGAATGTTGCGTCTACTGATATATATCAGATGAAGCACACATTGAATATAAACATTAGGTTTACATTTAATGTAATGACTAAGCACCTACTACACTTTTTGTATTGATAAAGAGCTATCAGGTAATGTATGCGTGTACACTTGATGTAAATTGCATTTTTGGTACATCTCAAATCTCTACTGATTATATAATTATGTATGTTTTTATTTGACAATTATTTTGTATATTTCATGTAACATTTTTTGAAAAGTTCATTTTTGCTGGCTATTCTTAAATATAAATTACTGTGCATTATTTGGCAATTAACATTTAAGGTAAATTTCTTGAGTTGTGACATTATGTAGTTTTCATATGTTAGTATCTTTTTTTTACATTGAATATATTTTAACTCTGAGGTTGCTGCAGTCTTGAAAAGTGGATAATGGAGAAATGCCTGTGGTCAACATTCCTTCATATGTTTTTCCTATGACATTTTAGGAGAACTTACTAAAATGCAGTTTTCATATGAATATTTTTCCATTAAAAAATAACATTAATTTTTTAAAAGCTAATTATTAAAATTATTTTAAAAAAATCCTAACATTGTAAAGGCATCTGAAAAAAGATTTGCTGTATTGAGAAAATTTTTTATATTGGTATGGTTGTGACCAAGTTAATGTGATTGGTTGTTCTTTTAGTTATAATGCAAGTTAAGTGTATGTTTAGAAATGCTTTTCTATGTTGTGACAATACGTACCTATGAGTATTTTTTCCTTATTCTTATTTCATTTTATGTAAATTTGTATGTGAAATGTTGAAGTATTAGGAATTAGTATTGCAACTCTATAAATAGGACATTCCCGTGTTTTGTAAATAAATGTGCATTTTTACATGTAGTCTAAGGGTAATATAACCACCATGGATTACCAAGCAAAAATAACATTACTTGCACATGCGAATAAAAAAAATGAACCATAAAGATTAGTTTTACATTGTGCTTTTAGTATTTTCTTTTATCCATAACATTTCTATCATATTGTTTACACACATTTTTATTTGTGCACATATTTTGTCGTTATTTCATGTTTTTCCCCGAGTGGCTACAAAATTATCAGCAATAGTTCTAGCACTTCAACACCAAGTGGGGAAATCAACATTGCAGTAGTTGAGATGGGTTGAGACGAATGTTTTAAATAATTACTTTCAAGCCTTCTAAGTTAGAAGAGGTATACCCATAAAGCTAGCATCAGATCTAGAGTGTGGCCTGTAAGTTGAAAAGTATTTGGCACAGACTGTATGCTGTTATATAAATAGTCTATTGATGAAATGTAACGATAAACCAACAATCTTACTGTGCTGCATGTTTGTCATACCATCGTGACGCTGATACCAGTAACATCAGTAACTTACGAGCCTTAGTACGTGTAGTTCAAAACATTGTTCGTCCGTCAGTCTGCGGGCTCCAGTGTTTAAAATTGAACCTGGCTATTTTTATGAACAATATTACTTGGCGAATCGCCTCATAATCCAGCAAGCAATGACATGGTTTATCCATTTTTTCATGCGTGTGTGTGTGTGTTTGTGTGTGTGTGTGTGTGTATGGTTTAGCTAAAACTGTGTATCTGTAATGAATGGGCGAAAAACTGCCAGAATGTATTTCCATTAATTACTCTCTCTGTACAGAGTAGGTGATATGACCTAGTACTGGGTATCTGGCATGTGCATTGACCAAGGTACTTCATATTTCTCATTAATGCTGTATTTTTTTTCCAGTTCCTGGTGCGAAAAAGCAACATGCAAATGAAAAACAATTCAAAATGATTTCTGGTCATGTTGTAACCATCAGCTTAGCAGCTGTGCTGGCTGCTTTCTGTTACCAACAGGGGTATATAGGTGAGAGAGAAAAATTTAGATTTGGACTGGTTGGAGTCTGATGCTTCTTATAAGTCACCTTTTATTTCGAATTAACAAAAGGTTTAAATGTCTGAGACCGCATTCACATCGAGTTGAGCCATGGATCTACAAAGTCACAAACTAAATATGGTGGACGTACATGAAAGGAAAACCGCCTAATCATTTAATAGTCTCTCTGCCTGTCACACGCCTCCCCACCCGTCGTCCTTGCAGGGGTACAGTCATTAAATCTCGGCTCCATTGGGATGACACAACTCGACACTATATTATATGGTAGCATAATACTATATTATATTATATGGTAGCATAATAAGTCCTTAATTGGTCTAGCCAATGTTAGCTATTATTGTTTAATTTAAAAAAACATTGTCTATTGTAAAACTTTGAATAATTATCATCATGTTGATAGATTTTTTTCTTGTTTTAATTTTAGCCCTTCTGTTACACTGGAGCTTGAACATTATGGCTGTACTCAGTGGAGGAGTGTTGGGTGTTGCCATGGTGATATGCAGAGGAAAAAGATACATTCCACCTGCCCCTAATAAAGAAACATCAAAAGTACATGAACTCCTTAAACAGATGATGGTAAGGCAGCATTATGATGTCATGGGCAGTGTTTGAATTAAATATGAAAATGGAAATACAGGTATTAATATTTAACTTAGAAACTCCAGCAAATGGCCAAAAGCTTGTGAGAAATAGTAACTGCCAGATACTGCAGTTTTGTTTGTGGGGAAGGGTTGGGGTTGCTAATAGTCCAATGTGCATCAACTGAGAATAATAAACTAGAATATTTATTAATAGATATCCTTATGGGAATTGGATTCTGATAGAAGTAACAAAGATTCTTCTGTTCCAGTATTCCAGAGGTAGTCAGATGGAGACCAGGAAGAAGGTCATTATTTCCAGAAATCTTGATGTCTCCATAGACGGCCTCCTGAAATTGGTCATCAGAGACTATGTGATGGATTGGTACAGTGAGCTGTCTAGAGACACCACCACATTCCCTTACATGCTCAGGTACTACATACAAGAATTGCTATATAAGCAACAGTAATGAGTGCAAGATAAAGCAATAAATAACTTCAGGAAGTTTCTAAGTAGAAAAATATTTGCAAAATTGAGTGCAAAGCTGTGCAACTTCTGAAAAACAATTTATTATTAATTATATATATATCTGTTTTGATTGTCATCCTTTTTTATTGTCATCTTGTTTTGATGAAATGTATTCTTTTATTTATATATTAAGTAAACAGTGCATTAAAATTTCTGTTATGTAGTATTCTTTTTTAGGATGGGGTGGGGTGGGGTTTGTGTTGTGTTTTTCTCAAATTCGCGTTTTATGATGAATGACCATTCTCTCCCATCCTGTCTCAGACAAGACATGTGGAAAGTGATAGAAAACCTTTCAACCCGCCTCAGCAGGATTGACACATTAAAGCTGATGACACAAGACTTTGCTGATGCATTGCGAAAACATTTCCATGATGTTAAGGAGGTTTCTGTAAGGTAAGCACATTAACCTTTAAATACAAATACCATGTACTACATGTCTGGTAAGTGTTTCATGCCAAAATAGGTACATCTGGTAATTAACAAGAATGAAAAGCAGCAAATAATGACCATGTTTAGCATATTTTAATTTCAAAGCATTTAGATAATAACATTATGATAACTTAGAAATGATCATGGCATGGTAAATGAAGGGGTGGCAGTGATTTTAATGTTACATTGCTAAATTTGCTGTTGTGTTTATAGCCAGTTGAACACTGAAAATGTTGCCATCAAAATTGATTGGTTGCAGGGATCAAGACAGCCCAAACTCTGAGTTTATCCTTCACCCATGGCTTGCCAGTGAAGACACAGAGACAGAATTTCTCAGAAAGGTAGCAGACGTTCTTCTAATTTACCTCCTTCCTGATGAGTATGCTTCCTGCCTACCTGCACGCCATCTACTGAGAGAAATTGTTGCTTGTAAAGGTAATTTCATTGATAATATTTGGTAAAAGCAAGTTTAGTTCATGTATGTTTTTTTTTTTTTATTTTTAGATTTATGAATGTTGTCAAGGAATCCTGCTGAATGATTTTCATAAATATTTGTTTACATTTATTTTTCACAAATTGCTGCCTTTTTAATGGTATTTTCCTGCTCGCAGTTCTATTACCTTTTGTTTTATACGTTATTACATAAATATGGCAACCAAGAACACGATTTCTTAATAAGTAAAATATTGATGCATTTCAGTTTTAAAGCCTTCTGTGGAATCTATCTGTGACCCAGATAATATCAACCAGACTCTGCTGAGCAACATAGAGTACAGGGAGACCCACAAGAAGACCTACACCTATGCTGCCTCCTATGAGCAGTTCATGAAGATGATACAGGAGTGTGAGGATGTGGAAATGCTCAAGCAGATGAGGTTAGAAACTTTGGTAGAGGAATTCTGAAGATTTCCATTTTTTATACCATCAATGATCATTAATTTCCATTTAATTCATGAAAAACTGAGGTACGTTTTTAGAGTGGGTTGTCAACATTATGGAACTGAAGATGTATGTAACTATTGTTTTTAAGACAAAAGATGTAGTTTTTACAATTTCGCTAATAAATGATCAATTTGAAAACTTAAAATTTTGTTTTTCCACATTTTAGGTACAGCATTATGACTGAAATAATGCATGCCACTGTAATAAACAATTTAAAGAAAGCTCAAGGCTTAGATATTGGTAAGATGCATTGCTCTTCAGTTTCTTGAAAAATAAAACGGGCACACAGGCGCACGTGTGTGCATGCACACACACACACACACACACACACACACACACACTTATCCAACATAATGACATGTTTAACATAGATGTAATGATTTTAAATAGGGAGAATGTTAACCAAATATTTTGACATTTCCTTTCTGGAAATTAATAGTTAATGTATTTTGCAGAAAAGGACACTGCACCAAAAGGCACAGGAAAGGGGGACCTGCTGAAAGCTAGAAACTTGAAGCGGTATATAAACCAGGTAATACAGTGCTATTCTGACAAGAATTGAGAGAAATGTAGAGTATTTATTCAAAACAGAAGGAAAATTATCTTGTCACATTGACTAGATTAATTAGATTCGATCTACCTGTAAATGAATCACTGTTGACTTTGAGCAAGGCATTTTTTTAAATAAAAAAGGCAAAGTTATTTGTATCACAGTGAGTGCAAATACCAGTAGTGTCAAACAGAAAAATAATCTACTTCTTATTGTACTACCAGAATGAGTGCTGGCTGGGGGAATCTGTGGTTTTACCTCAAAACCATTTTTTGACTGTGTTTTCTGTTTTCTGTAGTTGAGAACTTCTAAGAACAAAGTGGAGAAAAGGATCCGTCATTGTGGAGGGGAAGGGTATGATGGCTATGGCTCAGATGAAGAAGATAGTCAGGTTCATGGAGGAGGCAAGGTAAAATACTACAGTGACAAGAGGCCCAGTTGGGTGCTTGGCTTTTAGGTCATTCCAGCACGTATGAAATCCTCTAACTAAGATTATTTATAAAGTTTAAAGATTTCATTGTTATGTTTATGTTATTGATTTGGATCAAAATGTTTATGGTAATAGTTAAGGAAAAATTACAAATATTTGAATATATGTGATATAATTAGTATTAATTACACATAAAAGTAAAAAGACAAAATATGTTTGGAATCAAGAACAAGTGAAGTGGCTTGAAATGGTAAGCTGTACCCAGTAGAATTACACTATTTGGATCTGATTGTAACAAATAAATCAATTTTATTTTCTCAGGTGTTTTCATTCCATGTTGTGATGCATAATCCACAAGCTCAAGAATATTTCATGAAGTTTTTACGGAGAGATGATAACCATTCTCTTTTGGAGTGAGTAACATGTTGAGTGAATTTTATGTGTTTTGAAAAGAGCTGCACAAGTGTCTTCTTATTATATGATTTGAAATTTAAATAATCTGAGGCTACATTTTCATTTGCTCTACCTTTTGTCAAGATGCTGTTAATTGTATTTGCCATGGCATTATTGATCTTTGATGAATTTATTCTGGTCAGTGAAATTGTTAGCATGTCTCCGTGTGTTGTGATCATGTTTTTGTGAAGAAACAGTGATGTTACTTGTAGACGTGAATTTTGCAGGTTTTGGAATGCTGTTGAAAAATTGAAGCATGCAGAAAAGGTAATCAGTTTAATGGATTGTAGTAGAAAGGGTTGAAAGTTATAGGTGCATTCATATGAGATAAATGTGGTATTAAGTGATAGTGCACTTTGAGACATTTTCTCTAAAATGTTATGGTAATTTGCCTCAAATTTTTAACACTGTGTATGAAACTTGTAACACTGACTTACTAATAAGGAACTTTCTGACTTGAACCCAAATTACTTTCAGAATTTGCCAAATAATTTTTTTTTTGTGAATTATAAACCATAATTATATCTTTGGAACACATTAAGTGATTTTGTTCACATTTAATGAAATCTTACGGAGGTTTTTAACACTTAACAGAAATACCAGCACCAAATAGGCACAGACATCTACCACATGTCCATCTCCAGCCCCAGCAGTCTGGTCACTAAGCTGCTGGACAGAGGAACCATCAAAAGGATTGAAGGATTTCTGCTTGGAAACATGGTAATAATTCAGCTGTTATTGACCAAAAGGATTAGCTCTGCAGTGCTTTGATTTTTATGAAACTTGTTTAAACTTGTTCAAATGCTGATATAAGCTTTACTTTATTTGGCACCTGAACCTACTGACCCAAGGTGACAATTTTTTCAAGATGTTTACACTAAGTAAAGAAATGACTTATTTATTATCTTATTGATACAGGTAATAACATATTAACATTTTAGGGTCCAGAAGCATTCTTCACTGCTCAAGTCCAGGTATGGAATGAACTGGACAGCAATTATTATCCTTCATACATTGTGAGTGATGTCTATCACAAATATGTCAGTAAGCTGGAAGAGGAGGAGACTGAAGTGGATGTGTCATCACATGAAGCTTTACCAGGTAAGTCACCATAAGGTGGGTGTGGTATCACACTTGTTGCCCCTCCTATAATGTGAGTGGAGTATTTTTTATTAGGATAAGTTGTTTGAAGTGAAAGGAGGTGGGCAAAACAGGGTGTGTTGTTTCCCATAGTTGTACACGTAGAGGGTTTATTTGTATTATAATGTCTGAAGGTTTTGTGCTATAAGACTAAAAAGAAAAGGAAAAAATATAAAAAACTGTGTAGCACACTTAATGACAGCTTTGTGCTAAAAATATATCAGAACGTTATTATATTTTTTTTTGTTTCTAGATCATCTCATGTACAGTATCCCAGGGTCTCCAGAAGAACAGAAGGAACCTACATTTGGTTCTCATGAACTGACTCAAGCACTGCACAAAAGACTGCAGATATTGGATGACAAGACCATGAATAAGGCACAGGCTCTGCAGGCTATGAAACACACACAGAAGAGTGATGATACAAAGGTGACTTTATATTTTATATTTAGTTACATACTTTGGTTTTCCTTATCATTTTTCTTTTTTGTTGTTGTAACAGCTGTTATTTTTCTGAAGTATAATCATGTTCAATTTACTTTATTTTGAATGTTATATAAAGTGATATATACAGTGTATGTTTTGGATGTGCAGAGGGCCAAAGTAGTAGATGAGCTACAGCAGGAGCTTGATGAGCTGAAATCACAGCGCAGACAGCTGGAGTTTCATATTGAGAGGACAGAGCTATGGTGGGAAAATGTTGGACGTTGGAAAGCACACATATACAATGCAGAGGTTGGTTCAATGGTGCAGTTTGTGAGATTGTGTTACAAAAGAGTCTTGACAGTAACATTGCAGTTACTCTCTATACTATAGATATCTCAAAAACTAATTTCCTTGGTGGATTTAAGGATTAAGCAAAATTCAGTGTCAGTTGTTAAAACATTAATTCAATGTTTGTATCCACTTCAAAGTTAGCTTGGTGACATGTTCACAATAAAGACTCCTTCATTCATGTTAAGAAGGAAATGTTGTTTTAATTTTATGAAAAAAGGGGTTTGATAAATAGTCAGTACTAGGGTAGACCAGGGCCCGTATCTCGGAAAGCATCGCGTATTGCGAATCGCTATATCAAATAGAGGCTTCCATTTATTATATGGGACTATCCTATAGGAAATTTTTGTAAGGGTAGTATGGGCGAGTTTTGGAATCGAGACGCTTGCGCATGTGCGCAACATAGCGAACCTTTCGAGATATGGAGCCCTGTAAGTATCAATTGAATGAATATGGAAGTGAAGATTTAAGATTGAATTTTTTTTTCAATTTTAGCTGTCAAAAGACGAAGACACTGACAAGATGGTGCCAAATTTTGCCATAGTTGTAGATCTCCAAGGTTTCCATACCAGAGGGCGTTCAATGCAAGACAGCACCAGTGGATGGGTGGTATCAAGGACACTGGATGAATTCCACACACTTCATAACAAGCTTATTATGGTAAAGAACAATACTCTGTGAAGTTAACATTGATTTTTTTTTATTCTGGTGAAAGGATTAGAGGTGCTCATGTCCTTGCTCCTATATATAATCCTTTCCAGCCTTCTTCAAATATTATGATAAAGTTATTCATTTGACAATCTCAGTCATACATACAGCATGTGCCATCATCTGATGGATAAAGATAGTTATTTGTCAATGATTTTTGGTGTAGAAAGATATGTTTCAGTTTATCATACTATATGTACACTGTAATATGAAAAGAAAAACACACTAGGCTGGGGTAGTGCTAGCAATCTTTTTCACTTAGCCAAATTACCACTTTTTTTGTCAATTTGTTATCCAAATGGTTATAATTTGACTAAAACAAGTCAAATCAAGCCCTTTTTGTTTAGCCATTTTAAGCCAGTTTTAGCATTTGGCTAAATTGGCGAGTAGATAACATGATTAAGATATAGATGACACATCATTTCACTTTCAGATTGCAGCCTGGCTGACCAAAAAGCAGTTGCCAACCCTGAGTAAACTTCCCTTTAAATCTGTTAACAAGGCATTTCTGGATAAAGCTAAGGGCACTCTAAGCACATATTTGACTGTGAGTCATTAAATTGTTTAATTTCCCAGATTAACAGTTTGATTTAGATGGGATTTATTTGAAAAAAAATATATATATAAGAAGTTTTATAAAGAGATTTTAGCAATTCCTCTTTATGTGATAGAATGGAAACAAATATTATTTAAAAAATTAATGTTCTTTTAATAATGAGGAACATTTATGTAAATATTTATAATTTGTATTGTTATAGTAATCTTTAATCATGGCCTACACTATTCTTAATAATTAAGAATTTCGTTCCAGGTTATGCATATAGAGCATTTTTACCAAAGTCACTATGATCCCTATGATGTTTTAAATGTATTTATCCATAATGCACTGTTTTCCTCTATATGTATATGTTTTACTATAGACTGTACTAAAGGATGATATGCTGTCACAAAGTGAAGCTCTTTATGCCTTTCTGAGTCCAAGTCCTGATTACCTCAAACATCATCCACCCAGGATCAAATCTGCAAAGTTCTCAATTCCAAATATATTCAGGGGGTGAGTTTTTAAGGCAATTATAAAATTTTGAAAATTCTTTGACTGCATTTTAAAAGAAAAACCAGGTCAACAGTCATACAATGTAATCATGAATAGGAAAGAGTGAGTAGCAGAGAGACAAACATAAGTGGAAATACTTGATGACAGACACACAAACAAACAGGCCTGGATTTGTAGATTTAATGATA